TACTTCTTCATATGAGAATGACTTTTTGAAAATCTCTCTCTATGGAGTTACATAATCTTACTCTAGAATAATTAAAAATGGTTTTTCCACTACTGATATGTACTTTTGAAAATGTCATGCAAGTTTTAGAATTGTCAAATTTTGGAACATTCTTCTTCACTTGACTTTAGGATTTGTAGCATTTCAAATTTCCTCAGTGACTAGTGACATTTTAACAACATAAATGCTCTTTTAATCATCTTCATTCCCCAGTTTGTCATCGATGTCCTCAAAGTAATGGCATATTATTATCTTTACCAATATTGTGTCAAATCAGCAGTATGTTTTAATATTTTTATATGTTTACATGATGCTCTCCTCTCATTAAGTGGATTACCAAATACTACAAGAGCCTATTCATTATTTATAATTGGAATTTAATTCATGAATTACTAATTCTGGTATGACCTGAAAAGCACTCTGTTATGATTTACGTCGGGATAATTCTGACAGTTTGTCACGGAGATTCCTGGCAGCGCAGGTGAGTAAGTGGAAACTGGAGCCCGTCCCCAGCCCAGTCACAACGTACTACCACTGAGAGTTGTTCTTCCGTCTCGAGAACAGAACTACAGTGCACTTTGAGGGGCTAAAATCACAGTGACGAATCTAAGTTTTATGGCATACACGTGTTTTGTAACTGCTCCAGGGGTTTCCGCATCGATAGCATCCCAACAGCCCCCCTCCCCCCAGGGACGGTGGGGTCCCAGTTCTGCAGCTGCCACCAAGGATGGGAGGAAGTGCAGTCACCAATGCATCCCTCTGGGGGCGGCCCTGGCAAGGAAGCGACTTGGGACTCGGGCCCTGGGAAAGCAGCGGCAATTCCTCAGAAGCTGAACGGCCACCCGAGGCTCTCCCCCCGCTTCCCTGCCCATCCGGGTCCCACTAAGGCCTAGGACTCTGGCCTGAGTGAGGATGGTTACCAGGTTACTGCTGAGCACGTGCTTGTCGGTGACAATGCTAGCTGGTCCACGAGCACTCAGCACCAGTCAGTCATCATTGGGGCTCCCCTCTGCGGTGGCTTCTGATGGTCCCTCCACTGCCTGTCCCCAGTGGCGGTGACCCCCAGATGGCACTTCCCAGCTGTGTGACACCCTTTCTTCTCAGATGTGCCCTCGGCTGCTCCGCATGTTTCTGGCAGCCCTGGGCAGACCCACCCACCACCAGGGCTTCCCGGGGCCGAGTTCAAAGACGTCAAACATCATGGTGCTGCCAGTTCTGTGGGAAGCTCTTCTCCTCCTCCCAGGGGTCCCAGGGAGGGACCTTCTTCCCTCCCTCCCTCCCCTTCTTCCCTCCGGTGGGTTTCGCAGCGGTCCGACAGGCAGCACGCCTCTACTCCAGCGCTCAGTGCACAGCGGCACAGGGGTCTCCCGGGTCCCCATCACTGGAGCCACAGCAGGGCGACCTGTGGAGCAGGTGTGCGCCCAGCATCCCCAACCTCTGGAGAACAGCTGTTGGTGAGACTTGCCCCAGGACAGGGTGTTCAGGGAGCAAAAGCAAACAGGTGACAAGAGCCCGCCGCACTGGGGGAGCGGAGCACACCTGCTTCCTCCCACGCGGACCCCGGAAGCGGAGCGGGTGCGAGCTGGCGAGGTGGGCGACGGCGGTGCACCCAAGGCGGAGGCGGCAGCGCGCTGAGGGTCTGCGGACATGCGCGGCACAGCAGCTCAGGGCCCCGTGTGCTGGCACAGGGGATCATTCTCTGCATTGAAATTTGTAAAACTGAAGACAGAGAAGCTCCAAAACCACATCCCACACGGACGGAGAGAGCAGCGAGGGAAGTGCTGCGCATTCTAACGGGGAGGGGCTGAGTCGCCAAACATCGTCCATCTCAGAAGGGCCACCGCCCAGTCACACAGGCTTGCAGGACCCAAAGAAAATAAGGATGATGGAAATCGGTAGCCAGTGCCTGGCAACCTAGAAAGCCAAGTCGGCTTTCACTGCAGCTATAAATGCTTGAAAATTGAACATTAGTGGGGAAATAGTTTTGTCAAATCTTAAGATGGCACAAATTGCTAAAAACAACTCAAGTGGGAGAAAAAACAAACTCAAGTGAGAATATCAGCAGTGGCCATGGCACGAGTCGGCTCCCGATTCCCGGGGGGCACAGGGTCAGGGGTTCTTCGCAGGGACAGCCACGGCGGGGCACGGCCACTGCCGACAAGCGTCGCGGCCCCCTCGAGGGGAGCCGCAGCAACCCAGCAGCCCGCCCCTGAGGACGCGGGAGACACCAGGCCCCTGACCTCGTGCTGGGATCCATTCCTGGTTGGCAGGAAGGTTCCTTTGCCATCGGGATAGAAGTTCTATGTTCAGAAGTCACTTCCCCTGCTAAGGTGGCAGCCCTGGCTCCATCCTGGCCGGCAGCCGGCGTGGGCAAGCTCACACTCTTTCCTGTCAAGATTCCTGCAAGTCATTATTTACACTAAGAATCACCCAATTTCACCAAGACACACCAGCTCCGCAGGCAAGAAAAAGCACGTGAGGGCATGTGTCACCTGCTCCAGCCCTGCAGGGCTCCTGTCCCCACCGCCACGGCTCCCAACCCCACTGTCCCAGCTGCGTCCGCTGTCCCCCCACTATCACATGCCACACACACCGCCGGCTTGCAGAGCCCCATCTCGGAGGCATCGGTGCTGGTGGGGGGCACCCCGCAACCCGGCCCTTGTACCGGAAGACCCAACCCAACCATCCTCTCCTCGGTTTTTCAAAGTGGCCTCTTTCAGGCACCAAAGTTCTCGTGATTCCCCAGCAGGAGAATGGGACTTATTTAACTGTCCTGGGCTCCGCACGGCTTCCCCCAGCAGAGGCTATGCATGTGCGCATCTCGACCTCCGGCTAGTCACGCTCCTCCGTGGAGGCACGTGTGGGTCCCACGGGTCGCTGCACGGTGGTCTCTGCGCCACCCTCCCAGCACGGAGACCAGCCGTGTCGCCCGTGTCGGGGGCAGGGGGCAGGGCAGAGCACACGAGACAGGGCGTGCACCGGACTCGTGGGCCGGCGTCTCCAGAAGCCGTGTGTCCTGGCCGCCCTCGTGTCCCCGGTTGGAGCGCCAGTCCAGCCGCCGCGAACCCCCTCCACCGCTCCCTGTGCCGACAGCCACGCTGAGCCACGGCAGGACCACTAGCTGCTGCCTCGGGGAGGCTGTCCCCATCTGACGGCCGGACCTGAACCCTGAACCACTTGTAAGAATGGAAGCCTGGCGGCCTCCCCCAGCTCAGGTCAGGATGGCCGATTCCCAAACTCTGGAATGCCCAGAGTGGACAGGGACGCTGACGGTGTCCGCAGGCCCACAGCGGGTCACGACATTCCCATCACACACCACGAGATACAACAGGGGCACGAACACCAACAGGAGAGAATAAAAGCTTTTTTTCCCTCCGAGTCCTCCTCAATAAAATGACACCTCATATTGAAAAATTCCACAGTAAAATCCAGAGTTTACCATGAAAATGTATTTCATGGATTAGTACATCAAAATGTATTTCTGAACAAGAAGATACTAGTTACACACTCAAAGCCTACACACAGGTGGAAATGGAACTTTCCATCACTGAATTCTACGCTACTTGACATCACTAGGCGTGCGGCCCATGATGGAGGCCCACGTTGGCCCTTTCTGCCTGTCCTCCCAGATGTCATCCAAAGGTCCGATTCCCTGCATAGCAGAAGAATGACAGATTTCAGATGCTGCTGTTCCAAGTTTTCCATAAGTTTAAAAGGCACCTCCTGCTACATAACCTTCCAGGTCATTTCCCTGAGACCCAGCTCCTGTCAGAGAACACGGACAGTACGTCAGGCGTCGGACAGATGTCAGAGGCCCCGAGCGGAGCTGTGATGCTTTAGAGAAAGCGACTGCTTACAGCGAGGATGTCCAGGCACAGGCTTTCCACAACCCACACGCAGGGGACGTTTACAACAGATTACATCTCCACACGGCGCTGTGCACACACACCACGCGCACACGCCGGCAGGACTGAGGTCGGAGGCCACAGCGCGAGGACAGACCGACAGAGCCGCTCCCGGGCCGCGCGGGCCCACTTTGTGTCCTACTTCCTCTTGGCGCTCACGGCTGGGTTTCACTTCGACGTTACACAAGCACGCTGTCGTGTTGTATCATCGCGGTCCTCACAGACGAGCACCCGGCAAGCGCCTCTGTGACAGGCAGGCAGCAACTGAGAAACCCTCACTAGAACCACGAGGTCTGCTCACTCACTGAAACCAGTCAAGTAGGTCTAGTTTACTCTTTATTAATAAAGGTGACTTATAATAAGAACAAACATAATTTAATTCAAATAAAAAATACAAACGTGGCGCACAATCACAGCTTCACGTCCAGCCCGGGGACCGCGCCTCCATCACTCCCAGGGGCGAGGGCCAGCGACCCCACGGGCAGCAGCGTGGCGGGAACGAGGCTGCCCACGGGCCAGCGGCGACTCCGTCCTACGGGGCTGTGAGGAAGCCACGGACGGTGCCCAAAGCTTGGCCCACAGGACATGGTCTTAGGCCATTACTACTGTTAAGGTCCAATTCGGATTTTAATACGATCGACTCACAGATCGGAAAGAAGCCCTGCTTGGTGCTCCCAGATGCGTTCTGGAATTAGTTTCCAGGCATCTTTACACCCAGTAAGTTACAACGATAAAGACGACAGTCTGGGACCAACAGCTTCTTCTGTAGACAGGGGAGGCGACCACGGATATTGCTGGCGACAACTCGTAGATTAAAAATCGTAACGACCCTAGATTTCTTCAAAACAAGCAACACTAGCGCACACAGGAGTATTTACTATAACCTTAACGGTCTAACAACCCTTCCAGACGGAAGGAAATCCAAAATAAAGCAGACGTGTCAACTCTCACTTCCGGTAATACGCTTCAGGCCGCTCTGTGACCACGGGCACCAGCACCGACGGTCACCTATGCTTTGACCCTGGCTGGCTGAAGCCACAGGCGCGGAGCTGCACCTGCAGCTTTATGGAGACCTTTCAGGGAGCTAGAATACTCATGGTTTCCCGGGTTCGCTCCTCGAAATGAAGCGGAGCTGTCGGTAATCAACTTCCACAGACAAACGTGTAGCCAAACCAAATTAAGAACAGTGTATCTTCCACACATGGCCTCAAGTAGGAAGCTTTCGTTTAGTATAATGAAAACTTAATTTTTAAAAATATCTGCAGTCTTTTTGAAACACAAGGCACCAACAGGGAGCAGACATTCCAGCAAAGAATGATTGTCTGGAGGAAAGAAAATGGAAGTGATCGGAGTCCTTTGTCCTTTGTTGATGAGAATACTTCTTTCTTTCTCGTCTATGCAACATCCTCCAGATAATCGGCAACGTCACTGAGCTGGGACACGGTCAGGTCCTGTGTCAGGTCATCAAGCTTTATGGTTCAAAAGAAAAAGAGAACCAGTATCAGAATGCAAGCAGAGTCATAAGTAATCCTTACAATGCGCCGCTGTAACTTAAATAGCATCTTACGCTGCACACACTGCTTCACATTCCGAAGTCCTCCACCTCTCCCTCTTCCCCCTATTTTGAAATCTGGGAGAATTACCAAAAGGCTGAGCTAAGAGCAAAACTGCATTACCACCCCCACCACAGCGCGCTGAAACAGCCCGGCTACAGCCCATCCAGTCACGAGGCAGCACGCGGTGGTCTCCGGGGTGGGTATGAGGGGCCAGGTGGGAGGCAGACCGTGGACGCCGACCCCGTGTCGGGAGTTCTGACTCAAGCTTGCCCACAACCCTGGGAGGCAGACATTCCCACCTGCACTTCACAGACACACCAGCTAGGGACTCAAGGCCAAGGCTTGCCTAAGAACCGCAGTACACGGTTGAACACGGGCCGGGACGGTGCCGGCTCAGACATGCGGTGTCTGTCAGCAAACGCTGCCTCTCTCAAAGGCCTTCTCGCCTGCTAATCCCCAGATGGCCACAAGCACGGACTCCCTCCTCATGCTGTGAAGCGACGTTCACCTCCAGGCTGCAGCGACCTCTAACCCGAGATGCCCGAGAGGCCCTCGCCCGAACGGGCCGCAGCTTTCCGGGGGCACGACGGGAGATGCGGAGAGGCTCCCTGACCTCTCCTGTCCGACACACATCTCAGTACACACCCCTGCCTGCCTAATAAAAAGGCCAAATGTGGCTCTGCAGGACAGACCCCTAACCATGGAGCCTGCGTCCACTGTACCGTCCCCGCCGGCCTCTGCACCAGCCCTGACCCGCCGGCGGAGATGCCGCTCCGCCTCCTCGATCACACACACTCGTCCATGCACCGATTTCTATCCCACCTTCCCCAAACAGGACTCTTGCGTCCGCTGACTGCACTGCTGAGGTGGCCAGTTCTGACTCCAGAACCTGGGCCAGGAAGGGTCATGTCACAGCCTTCAACTGCCTTTCTTTAATTGTTGACCCTGTACAGTCGCCCCCAGCAAGAGACACAGGCGTGCGCGGCGCTCCGCGGGCCACGGCCGCACCGTACTTTATCACTGGTGTTGAGGTCATCGATTTCCACAGAAAGATCCTCCTCGATCTCTTCCCCAATACTGAGCTCACTTTTCTCTGAGCGATGGCTGGTGCTAGTTCGAGAGAAAGAAAAGAAGAAAGAACGTTGAAAATAAACATTTACATAAAATACAATAAAACGATACTCAAGTCTCATGAATTTCATACGAATTGTCTCCCTTGATCCTTAAAGTAACTTCATGAGCCACAAACAGGCGCATCACTTTACGAGGCGAGAAGCGAAGACCCACAGAGGGGACATGGACATGAGGTCAGGAAGGTGCAAACCCAGATTTTTAATATTTCACCTACTACGTCATGCCCCTTCTCAAAAAATGCTTATTAACTACTGTTAAAAAATAAACATAAATTCCCAATTGTGGGGGGGGGGGGCTCTGTCAACGGCATAAAAATTCTGACTCTAACTTCAAATTTCTAATCCTCTCCGTAACAGACACTATTTCCAAGCTATGAGGCACCTCGGTGGATTACTCTGTCCCTACATATGTAGAAAGGTGATCTGAGACGCCATCTGCATCAGAACAGTAACTGGGGGGGCCGTTCTTGAAACTTGCATGTGCCCCGCCCCCCCGCCGCCACTGGACGTGGGGAAGCACGTGGGTCCCGGTGACCGGCCTCCTCGGAGCTGCTCTGCGTCACCTCCCGGGGCCTCAGCTTTACCCACTCGCCCCAAGCTTCCCGCATGGAGCGCGTCTGCTCACTCTCTACGGCCAAACTAGGACAGGCCTCCAAGCCCAGCGTGCAGATCTGGACGGACGGTCTTCCTCCTCCTGCCATCAGCACGGACGGGAGAGGGTAGCGCACTAACACGGGCACGAACGGAGGCCTGTCGCGCGCCGTGAAGAAACTGCCCGCGACGCATGTGCCGCCCGCCCGCTCTCTCACCTGTTGAAGTCGTCTGCGTAGTCGTCCTCCTCTCCGGTCCCTGCCGAGTTTAGGAAAAGACACATCACATTCGTACCAACGTGCTCCACAACTTACCTGCGACCACACACACACTTCCTTCGGGAAAAACTACATCAACGAATTACATTGCAGCATTAGAAGAGAAGTCGCCAGGATCAGAAAGACTATTTTTAACCACACACGATATGAAAGCAAATGACCAAATAAAGTGCCTGGGGGTAATAAAAATGTCATGAAACGTAGTTAATACCTGCTCTTTTATTCCAAGTCCCCCAAAATCTAATCCCATTGTATGTTTACTATTTGTAAAGTCATTTCAGACTAAATGATATTCATGAAAAAAGCAAGTTATCACAACTGCTATACTTTTCTTTTAAAGATTTTTTGTCAGAGAAAGAGAGAGTGAGGGACAGAGCAGGAGCAGCTGGGAGAAGGAGACGCAGAGGCCCCACTGAGCAGGGAGCCCGATGGGGGGCTTGACCCCAGGACGCCGGGATCATGACCTGAGCTGAAGGCAGACGCTTCACGGACTGAGCCCCGCAGCCGTCCGTTACCGACACTGTCAACTCCGCACAGCTCGCAGAACGTTTAAAGGCTCACGAAGTGTGAAGAGGCAGGAGAGCCAAGCGAACGGGAGCATCTCCGCGAGACTCAACGGGCTTCAAATCCCGGCTCCGGCTGCGAGGCGCTCTCGGCCCACGGGAGAACTAGGTAACCCTCCTCGGCCATTTCCTCGGCTGTGATGATGGCCAAACCCACACCAGACACGGGCTCGCGTCAGGATCCAGCAGGCGCGGTGCTGGGCCCGCACCCTGCGATGCAGCCCCCCTCCACAGGAGGCAGCGGGACGCGGAGGCCGCAGATGGACAGAGCCGCGTCCCGCAGCGGAAGGGCAGCGCGAGCGCCTCTACGCCTTGCAAACCCCCCTCCTCCCTCCAAATCGCCTGAGGGACACGTGAGGAAAGCAGACGTGAACCTCGAGGCGAAAACACAGAGGCCCACAAGAGCCATTCCTGCCCAGGGACGCCCGGCATGTGGGAGACACACAGACATGGTGCGGCCGCCCGAGGCAGGGGGCAGACCAGGAGGAGGAGGCCGGCTCGGCAGCCAGCTGGGCTCGGGGGGCACTGGTGTGGGTGCTCGTGAGTCTCTCCAAGCGCCAGACCAGACAGCATCTACACGGACGCATCACTGAGGGGTTCAAGCTCTGGGCTAGCGAGACAAGACGATCCTCTCCCACTAAAGCCATCACTTAATCCATTTGTCAGATACGTGTGTGACTCCCAGGGCCCCTGAGGTACAACCATGAGTAAGGGGTGTTCCTAGCCTCAAGGAGCCAACCCCCCAGTGGAAAGAAAGAGGCAACCAACAGCCAGACAAACCAGATGCTGTTCGAGAGGCTGGAGAGAAGTTTCTGAGGGGAAACCTACAGAGGGCACCAGACGTACAAATTATGGGGGAAAGGGAGCTCCACGAAGAAACACACGCAAAGGCCCAGAGACAGGAAGGGGGCAGTAATCTGGGAAACAGTGAGGAAGGCGACACATCCTCCACAGAGTGCGTCTGCGGGTAGAGAGCGGAGACAAGACGGGCAAGTAGAAGGGCTGATGGGGGCCACCAAGGGCCTGGCAGGTCACGCTCCGGACTTTAGCCAAAGTGCAAAGGGGGAGGCAGGAGTGGAAGAGCACAGGGAAGTGACGTGTGGTTTCTGTGTGCGTTACATCTAAGCCCTGCGGGGACAACGGCACTGGGGAGGGCGCGCCTGGGTGCGGCAGTGGCTGTGGGTCCGACTCTCGGCTCCGGTTCTCGGGGTCGCGGGCTGGAGTCGCACATCCGGCTCCACACTCAGGACGGGGCCTGCTTGACAATCTCTCCCTCCCCCTCCAGGCCTCCCACCACTCATACACTCTCAAATAAATCTTTAAAAATAAAAAGGGGACTGCCTTTGCACCATCGTCGTTGATCTGAGCTGAAACCTCTCCCCTTGGCCCTGCCCCACAGGTGTTGGCAGAGAAGTTACTTCCTAGATGAGGCCTTTCCAGAAAGCCTAGGCCAGGGTAAGCCCCACCACCACTCACTTTCACACCAGTGCGTACGGACTCTCAAAACCCCAGGCATCCGTAGGCACCCGTCTGATGCAGGTTGTCCCCACCAGAACCTGAGCTCCACAGGGAAGGTCTGCGGGGCTGCTGCTCTCCCCAGGCCCGGCACACGGAGAAACTGAGATTCATGAAGACCGCCCAAATATCCCATCGCCAAGCGCTCACTACAGGCTAAGCCATTTCAATTGCGATTTTATTCTAAAAATGATCGCCCTCAGGCAATCAGTACTAAAATTAGGAATCTAGTTACCTAATCCAAGTGATCCAATTTTATCACTGACCAATTTCAGATCTTTTAAAACTGTGCTTCCTCGTTTACCTGTGAAGGAAAAACATTCACATTAAATGGACTTTTAGAACACAACAATCTCTAAACCGCGTCATTTCTCTTCAGCCTAGGGTTTATGAGTCAAACACCCAAACCAAACACCAAGAAAGAATTACAGGCTCTGATGAGCGATGCTGACGTCAAGCCCCGCAGGCCCTTGTTCCCCACACGCAACACCAGTCGTCACCGGCACCGGACCACCAGACTGTCCCGCGCCACCGTCTACAACAAGTCTCGCCGGGCAGGAGTTCATTATCTCACCAATTTTACTTTCCTCTGAACTTCTCAATGTTGCTTTAATTGTTTTTCTATTTACCGAACTGACCTCACTGGTTATGCTTTTTCAGTCCCAAGTGCTCACTGTCCTGGCTACGTCTACAGTCCCTGACCAGTGTTAAGAGTGATGTGATCGTGCCGAGCTAGACTCCCGCTGCAGGTGACGAAGACCAGGAGAAAACACGAGAGGGAAACTGATGGGGCGCACTGGCAAACACTCGGCGAGGTTGCCAGATGGCTAAAGGCAGCCACACATCACCTCCTTTGCCTGTCCTGGCAAATCCTACCGTCCCAAAACAGGATACGAAAAAGTTAGGAAATACTGGAAAATTATGCAAAATCACACCACGATTTCCTAATAAAGGTGTGCTTTTTGGAAAATGTTCTCAAAAGAGGCACATTTATACCCTGGACACACTGTCGAGGAAATACATTTGCTCTGATACCGTAAATGAGGTGTGCCCACACACGTCCGTGTTTCAGGCTGTGCCTGCAAATCCTGCTGTCTTGCTGCCGTCCACATGCGGGGAGGGGGCAGGAAGGGAACTGTGGCCACGGCCATTCCATGTCTGCCTGACACCACACCTCTCTGCTACACGTGAACACATACGACAGAGCCACACTCCAAACAATGAAACCTTAACTGTATGCAACAGAGAGAGCTAGAGTAGGAGGCTGAGCAAAGTACATCGGAGAAAGACAAAGGCCATGTGACTGGAACGTGGGATTTAAGAAGCAGGTGATGGGGATTAAAAGCTGCTCATCTTGGTGAAAAAGGTAAATCTAAAAATTCACACACACACACACACACACAGAAAGTGATGCCAATAACCAAAGTAGGAAAAAAAAAAGATGCCGGACGCACATCACGGAAGACCAAGTATTTGAACATTCCTATGAATGATACTACGTTACTGTGGTATCACGGACTCTAGAAAACAAACTCTTAAAAAATGAATTTAAATCCTACTGACATCAGTCTAAATGTCCAACAAGAGAGAAATGACTTAGAGAGGTTTACTATAAGGCAGCTAAAAAGTCAGTTTCCTAAAGGTATTCTGATGGCACAGGAAACACAACACAAGACGAAGCAAACACGACCGTTTTGGAAAGTGATGAAAAGGACCATCGCTGGTCAAATTACGGGCTCCTTCTGCACAACAGACGACCACGTGGTACTTCGTCAACCTCGAGAAAGCACGTCCTGAGCCCTCCCGGTCCGCGTCTCCAGCAAGGAGGCCCGGGGCTCCCAGGCACTCACTGTCAGAGTCCTTCAAGGGGGGCGCGTCGGAGAGCGAGGCGAGGCTTCCTGCGTGCTCACCAGGTTCGCTTCTCCTAACAAGAAACAAGCGCACGGTTAGAGGCCGCGCTTACGCTCTGCCACTAGGACACCAGCACCGCAAGAGCACGTACGCGCAGCGCTGGACGGCCGGCCGCCCGCTTCGCGGACTCAAAACCAGCACGGACGCCCGCGAGGCGAGGCAGGCTGAGCAGCATCACAAGTCCACGGCCAAGCTACCCGTGAGGCGCGGCTCGCTCTCCACCTGCACCGCCGCTCGTGGTCTCCGTGTCCGTGGTTTGTACTGGGAGCCCCCTCCAGGGCCCGGCAATGCAGGCAAGGGTCAGCACGGGAGGTAACCGGCACAGCTGTGTCACGGGCAAAAGGCACCGCAGCCCCACCAGCCGACCTCCCCAGCAGCCCTGTGCTCCGCCCTCCTGCACATCCCCTGCCGCCACGTCCAGCCTCCTGCCCTGCACCCCCCATTCAGGCGGGAACCTTCCCAGGCTGCTGCTGGCACACCTCGCCCCCACCCGCCCATAAGTGCGCCCACATGCTCCCTCCTTGCAGCAGACAGCCTCAGCAAGGGGTCACCCTGCACCCCTACACATAGCACCGGGGGCCAAAGTCTCCCCACCCCTGCACATCACCCCTCCTCTAAGGCCGGACTGTTCTCAGCGGACGCGCGCACTGTGAGCTCCCACTGTGGTTTCCTCCGCGCTGCTCCTCCACAGCCCTGAACAGCACAGCCCACCAGGAAGGCACTCACCACCTACAATGCCCCCCGGCCTTTCCCGAAGCCTCTCTAATACTTTGCTACCTTGTCCCCTTCTCCCCACCCCCAACCCACGATCCCATCATCCTTGCCTCCAGGCTGCTATGTGACATGGCTGACTTTCAGAACTTAGCTCAAGGTCTCACTCTGGCCTCCCCCTTCCAGAACTCCTCTCCTCTCGGTCCCTTTCCTTCCTCCTCCTCCTCCTCCCCTCGCTCACCTCCAGCGGCCGCTCACCTCCCAGGTGACCACTCTGGGTTCCTCGGGCCGCAGGATCAAACACGGGGACTTCTCCCCTGGTCCCTGGAGCCCTCCCCCCGCCCCACAGCCGGCTTCACCTCTGCATCAGCAAGCTTCCTACCCCGACCCGTGAGACGTGAGACGCGCGTTCTAGACCGTCCCCTGGCCCACCGCGAAGCCCTTCCTCGCTCTCCACGCTTCACCTACAGCGCTGTTTCCCACCGTCTGGTCACTCGGCTGCAAACCCTGAGCTGCCCTTGATGTCACTTTATTCTCCAACACTTAGCAACAAATCCTTTTGGACTGAACCTCAGAAGACATCCCCAAACCACCTGTTTCTCACCACTGCTGCCATCAACACTCACCCAGAGAAGGCTGACAACTGCTGGAGACCCAGCAGCCCAGTGAGCTGGTCACTGTGCAGCTCAGAGGCTGGGGCTCCCAGTGTCCCCGCAGGGCACAGCCACACTCCTGCCAGAGTCAACGCCGTCCCCACCAGAGCCCATTCCCACAACCGCCCCAGCCGTGCTCTGACCTGTCGCCCCCCTCTGCCTGCTGCTCGCCCTCCCAGAGCTCCGCTGTCGTCCTGGCTGCCTCTCTCACAAACTTGGGCTCTTGGCTCCACCAGCCCCTAGAAGGGAGGCACTCCCTGACCTGATCCCTGACTTCGCCCCCGGCCCCCCACCCCCGGGCCTGTCACTCCAGCCGCACCCACCGCACAGCATGCGGGGGCTCTCGTTCTCGTTGCCTCTGTCCGCAGAGTGCAAGCTTCTGGAGGCAGGGCTCTGCCCGTGCTCTGCCCGTGCCAGGCCGCGCTTGAACGCACGCAACGGGCCCGCTCAGTCTACCCTTCCCTCCAGAAATCCTGATTATCTAGTTTTTTCCCCAGCTGGAATTGTTTCACAACATAAAAGTCTCTAAGGACAGAAAATGAGACTTACTTATTCCATAATTACAGAAGCTTTAGTAGCTCATTTTTAAAATATAAAATATTAAGAAACTGTATTTTTAAGCCTCTACTTTGCTAATCCAAAATCACAGTTTACTCACCAACCGTAAGTTTTTTCCGGTTTAGGAATGGGATCGTCGAAGAAAGAATCCCCTTCCATATCATCTTCGTCTGGACAAAGACCGGCTTTGTCTTTGACATCTAGACTTTTGTTACTTAAGAAAGATCCAATTTTGGTTTCGTGAGCCAGCAAGTGGAGGCTGCTTCTGCTCTTTGGTTCTGATGAGGAGACGCTCGTGTCACTCTGACTGGTATCACTGCTGGCCTTCTAGAGAAAGAGAATGGGAAAGACCAGAGGTCTTCTTGGTGAAATAAACAAGAGTACGCTATCTTAAATAGCAAATGTCACACAAACATACGCAGATCTGTGTCTACATGTGCAAGTGTGGGGGGCGACTAACTCCAGGACCTAACAGTCTACCCCCAGTTCACGCACAGCCAGCATCTGAAGGAGAGAATGTCGACAGTGCTGTGTTTATGCCATCCTCTGTCTCTCACCCTAACTGGAAATACCTTTACCTACAGCATTTACAAACAAACTTCCCCACTTAAAATTAACCTCTGCATTTCCTCTTAGGTGCACATCACTCCTTCGAAAATTAGCTTAAAAATCAGTAATTTCCCACTTGCAGAAAGGAGAAGGCATTACTAGGAACGAAGGAAGATCAGTTCCCATAAATGAACCAAGTATTAGAACAAAGTGTCCGTCGGTAAAAACAGCAATTTTCCACCCAAGGCAAACACGACAGGCATCAAGGTGAAAGATGTGGCCTTGCTCACCACTGTCCGAGGGCACACAGGCTGCTGAAAGCACTGGTCTGAGTCAGACTCTCAGCTAACTTCCTCTCGTCCGGGCACCCAGGCAACACAGAGGGCTCCGGGACCCTTGACTCTGTCCCGCTGATCTGGTGACATTGACACAGAACAGGCCGGTGCATCTCTTGCTGCACGACAGCGAGTTACCCTCTGCTCGGTCAGACTGTCTACGTCAGTGACAGACATGACCGCAAACACCACCAACCAGGCTGGTCACAACAGAGGGCGCAGACGCTTCCGGAGAGCCCTCCCGTCTGCCCGCAGGTCATGTCCTTCCGCGGCTGAGGCTGCGAGGGGAAGGCTCTGGCTTCGCCGCGGACACGGAAGAGGGGACATGCAGACATTTCAGTCCCGTGCCAAGGTCCCCGGAAAGTGAAAGGGTCTGGAGCTTGGCTCTTAACACCGATGTCACACTATTCAGCTGACTCATATGAAATTGCAGTTTCTGTGGGTTCAAACGGATGATTTCCCCAGCCTCAGCCTCGCACCCAGGAGAGGGCCGTGTGTGTCTGACACCTGGGCTGTGCGAGAGACTCTCCCAAGAAGCTCATGGGGCAGGCCAGCCTTGCCCTACCACTAAGCACACAATCCTCAGGAACTAAAGGTGCACAGGCATGAGTGACCCCAAGATTTCAAGCAGAGTCGTCTTTTCCAAACCTGACTAGCGCTGAGAGCTGAGAAAGAAGGCATGTGCAGCTGGGGAGAAGATTCTGGAGAAGACACTCCCCGAGGACGGCCCTTCACTACGTGCAGACACGGAATGGGGCGTGTGTACGGAGACGCGCGTTTCTCCTTCCACACCGGGCAGCGGCCCGCTGAGCAGACGGCAGGCGAGACTATGCTACAGGGCCTTGGGGGCCCTGGACACCGCTGCGTGTTCCGGAAGTGATCAGTCTAGAGCAACCGATTTTCCTAAGGGACACGTCTGGAAAAATAAACACCAAGTTACTATCCCTTAGACGACATCGGGTATTTTCAGAGGGCGGAAACATTTTACAACTTCCTAACGACTTTCTTGAAATTCTCCGGTATGAGCAAACACAGAGAAGCCCCGACCATCCACGCGCTCCTTATCCAGACCCACAGCAACCTGTACTTACACATGCTGAACACTGGATTTACATCTTTTCAAAGACCTACGCATTTGGAAATATAAACCAAGTCTTGTGATATTTAAACCCATTTCCAATTACAGAGATCTACTCTCTCCCTAAAACACTCCTGAGAAGATGGAGGACAGACTGGTGTGAAGTAAAGGGTCATGTCCATGAAAAGCAATTTTACAAAAACCGTGATTATCCCAATAAAGTCGGCCTTCCCCGTGAAGTCACACACTACCAGCATGACTTAAGTCCCCACGAAGAACCATCTAAACTTGTAACTAACATCTACCCAGGACTAGTTTGGACTGATTTCAGCAACAGCCCTGCCAGAGGAATGAAGGCTAGTTTGAGGAAGACGAGTTTCATGGACAATCACACTCCCATGTTCAGCAAAATATATATTTTGAAAAACAAAAATCAGTTTGTTTTAAAACTCTAGTTCTAGGTACCTAGGGAGTAAAATTTTAAAACACTTGATCTGTTTTGGAACTCTTCTCAAAATCCATTTCTAAACCACACAGAACTGTGTGCTTCTAACTATGGCTATCTGTTCACCAAATGGACTGCTACTCAGCTGGGTTACTGAGAATTCCCTAAACTGAATTCCAAATCAGTTTTAGGTTAGGAAAAACTCACACAAGAGAAAGACTTATCAAAAGATCTATAAATTAACATGCAAGTACTGTAGAACTTCAAGAGCAATTTCCAGGCAAGAAATCCAAATCTTTTGGGCAATAAGAAGTCAAGTCACGACATAAGCCCTGGGATCTGTTTTAAAAACCTTTGAAGCATTAAGGCATTGTCTGGGTTTTTTTTTTTTTTCTTTTCAACATAACAGAATTCATTGTTTTTGCACCATATCCAGGGCTCCATGCAATACGCGCCCTCAGTAATGCCCACCACCTGGCTCGCCCTTCCCCCCACCGTCCTCCCCTACAAAACCCTCAGTTAGTTTCTCAGAGTCCACAGTCTCTCATGGTTCCTCTGCCCCTCTGATTTCCCCCAACTCACTTCTCCTCTCCGTCTCCCCATGTCTTCTGTGTTATTCCGTATGCTCCACAGTAAGTGAAACCATATGAGACTTGACTCTCTCTGCTTGACTTATTTCACTCAGCATAATCTCTTCCAGACCCGTCCATGTTGCTACAAAAGTTGGGTGTTCATCCTTTCTGATGGAGGCATCATACTCCATAGTGTATATGGACCACATCTTCCTTATCCATTCGTCCGTTGAAGGGCATCTTGGCTCTTTCCACAGTTTGGCAACCGTGGCCATTGCTGCTATGAACATTGGGGTACAGATGGCCCTTCTTTTCACTCCATCTGTATCTTTGGGGTAAATCCCCAGTAGTGCAATGGCAGGGTCACAGGGAAGCTCTATTTTGTCTCACCTCTTTGCTTCCAACAGCGCTTAATTCTAGCTACGCAGATTCTCCCTGACTTTCAGCACCAGCTTTTCCACAGCTCGGCCGGAGGGAGGCAAGTAGCTAACTGTGTGTCTAAGACAAGAACTTGCCTTGGAATTCACCGCCTGGACAGCCTCACAGGCCTCAGCGATTCGGGTTACAGAGTCCCCCCGGGAAGACGAAGCCCTAACGCCCAGACTTCAGAGCGCCCCTCACTGACACACAGTGTCACGAATGATACGACTAGTTACACTGGGTCAGGCTGCAGGGGGCAGGCCCCTCCCCCACTGTGCCCGGGGCCCAGCAGGCGAGGATGCCCGGGGAGAACACAGGTGAACAGGACGGCGGGGATGGGTGAAGGGTCTACCAGGCAAGGGACGCCTGGGACCGTGGGCAAGAGACTGTCCCCCCCAGCCTGCAGGAGGGACAGCCGCGCAGACACCTGATCTCCAGCCTGCAGCTTCCAGAAGCGTGGTTTAGGTTAACAAATTCGTGCACCTTCTCACAGCCCTACGTACAGGTGTTTATAATAAAGAACTAGAACCTAGGATAAACTCGGTCTTTTCAGAAAACCAAGAGACCTACTGAGGGGCACAAAAGCAGGCATTAAATTCCCTTAGACCAATCTCAAGGCTAAAACTTCACGGTGAATTAGTGCAAAGTTGCAAGAAAGTTCGGGTATATACATAATGGTCTACAAGTCCACTTACACATCTGGATTTCAGTCACTTCTAGATTAACAGCAAATGAACCTCACAGAGAAACAAGTGTCACACTGAAAATAACCATGTGGCTCTCTGCTCAGCGGGGAGCCTGCTTCCCTCTCTCTCTGCCTGCCTCTCTGCCTACTTGTGATCTCTATCAAATAAATAAATAATCTTTTAAAAATAAAAAAAGAAGAAAAGAACTACGAATTTCCCAAGAGCCAAAATGTGAATTATCACCAGCGTGTCTTAAGAACTTAAAAAATGAATTTTATTTTTCTAAGCTCGTAACAGAGAAACATCAAAGCTAAAAAATACCCCAGTTTTGCAAACGTATTTAAAAAAGGCATGGTAGTAATTCCCTCCCTCCACCACACCTCAAGGCCCTAGCTCCCCTCTCCCACCCCACCGGAAGTGTTTTCTTGACCCATGATTTAAACAATTTTACTACAGTTCTAAGACACATTTTAAAAAATCTATTCACCTAGAACATACACTGTGGAACTCTAGAACCATAAAACAAACATTTAAACTCCTCTAAAAACTCAGTGTTTCTAGAAAACCTCTGTCCCTCGGCTCTACAGACGATCCGTCACTGCTGCAGACGCCCCTTACCCCTGGCTGACACCAGACTGCGCAGCTGCTCGGCTCCGTCCCGATCCCAGCGGCAGCCTGGGCGCGGCGGATCCGAAACAGCCAGGCAAAGGGCTGTGGGCTCAGCGCCCCGATGCCGCTCGGGTGAGCGTACGGGTCCGTCCCGCCGGGGCTGGGGCGGAGTAAGGGGATGACTGGGGAGAAGGACCCACAAATGTGTGCCCCCTGCCCGCAACACACTTACTCCGAGGTCTACATCACGGCCCTCCTCAGCATCAGCAGGGCTTAGGCCACAATTTTAAAAACCAGGAACAACAAATTAAAAAAGTCCTTTTTTAGGAACTTGAAGCAAAAACTACCTCAACAGGTACTAGTTTGAAACACCTGAGACCCGATCACGAAGAGGATGATCTTTCCTCTTACGTTCCTTAATACAAAGAGCACCTGAGTCTAAATATTAAAACAAGAAACATCTAGGGGCGCCTGGGCGGCTCAGTGGGTTAAGCCTCTGCCTTCGGCTCAGGTCATGATCTCAGGGTCCTGGGATCAAGCCCTTCATCAGGCTCTCTGATCCTCAGGAGCCTGCTTCCTCCTCTCTCTCTGCCTGCCTCTCCACCTACCTGTGATCTCTGTCAAATAAATAAATAAAATCTTAAAAAAAAAAAAACAAGCAACATCTAACTCTTAAATAGCCGGGCGACGTTAGTGGCCCTACCAGACGCCTGCTGTCCTGTGCGACGGGCACTGTCCTCCCTCAGACGACCGGCCCCACGTCCAGCAGAAGAAAAAGTGTCTGTGAGGAAGCAGAGCAGTCTGGAGGCCAGCTCGGCGGGAGTGTTCCCGTATGGCAGGGAAGTTTCGAGAAACACCCCCTAGGGAACGCTTCCCCGCCGCGGCCTCCCACGCCCATGACCCGCCGTCGCCGTGTCCCAACGGTAACAAGCAGCAGCCCCAGAACCGGGCTTCGCGCCCAATCTAGGTTCCCTCCAGCCCTGTACGTTGCTGTGTGCTGACGGGGTGATGACAGCAAGTGCCAACCACCTACTCACACGCACACGCACGCACACACATGCACACACACGAATGCTCTTTACGGCTCATTTCTAAACATGAGCAGCGCCTCTCTGAGAGCCCAGGGTCGCCTTCCGGAACGCGACACGTAAGGAGGCCCCTGGACGGCGCACCGGGCGCCCGTCAGGCAGGGTCACCCGCGAGAGCCTGCGCAGCCGGCCACGCCACCGCGCCCCCGAGCACGGCCCTGCAGCCACAGGCAGCCTGGTGTGGGGATCCCCCGACGCTGAGAATGCTGTGGCCCCCGGGACCACACGGCGACTGGGCCGAGCAGCGCGGCCGAGGGCACTGGCTCCGGGCTCACCGGCGGCCGGACGTGCGGCCACAGTGCACACTGGGAAAGGCACCTCCGGAAGAGAGCAAGGAAGGAGAAGGAGAAGGCTTCAAGGTGACTCGGGCTCTTGGGTCAAAAATACAAGAAACGAACCGAGAGAGGCCAGACCGTGAGCCCACGAGCCAGGGCAGGGCCCGTCCGGATGCCTCAGCCCCCGAGGTCAGCGTCCCTGAGGCCCGCCCCTGCAGAGGGAGGGAGAAGTCTGGGCCACATGGCCGCGGGGTGCAAAGTGACAATTCGTCTTTGAACGTGTTTTGGTTTAGAAGATCCAGAGCCTCCCAAAAGTTGGAACCAATAAACGATAAAAATGAAAGGCCATGAGGTACGCTTTTAACTTTCCAAAAGAGTCTGAGAAACTGATTCAAAGTATCTACAAATATGCCATCGCGTATTCTCAGTCCTCTTTCTGGAGGAGGGTCTTGGCGCCCCATCAGACTGTCACCAGCGCAGTGGGGCCCGCAGGGGACCCGCCTTGCCGCAGCCCTGCACCCAGCAGCTCCCGCCAGGACACGGGCCGCACGTGCTTGCTAATAAGTAACCTCCCGGGTCTCCGCGGGCAGGAACACGTAATACCTGAACAGAGTAACGGGGACTCGCCAGTGAGCCCACTGGAACTAAAGCCGGCTACCGCAGCAAACACAATGTCTTTAACAATTGTATTTTTAATTTAATACAAAATTTAATACAAAATAATCATTTAATTTTGAAGGTCTTCCATAGGCTACACATCAAGCAAGGGTCAGAAGAACCGAAGACCCCACGGCACCAAACGTTAAGTGTCTTATTCCAAACACGTGCGAGCAGAGTGACCAGCGCTTTTAAGACCTGCAGTATTTAAATTTTCAAAGCAGAGCACCGACTGGCTTGTGGATTTCTGGCACGTTCGGGGAGGAAGACGAGGCAGCCGAGGGCCAGAGCGGGTCCCCAGGGAGCCGGCGCTTCGAGGGAGGCTCCTCGACGGGCGGGCTCGGACACGCAGCCAAAGGCTCAACACTCTCAAAAATGTCTTGAAAGAAACTAAGTTTGGCCTTTAATTTATCAATTGAAACCTACCCAAAAAATAGTTTCTCTATTTACCTCAGATGAAAATCATAACACGAAGAATACGTATATACGACCGTCTGCTCAAAAGGAAAATACGTATTCTGCTGAGAAAACAAGGAATTCTCCAACTGACAGCACATCTGTAAAACCCCACCGTATGATTTTCACCTGGGTAAAAATCGAAAAGTCAAATTACTTTGTTTTAGGCCCTATGGCTTGATCACAGGCTGACCGCAGCCGGGAGACAGTGACAGTGGCACAGAGCACCGCACCCCGGGCCAGGAGGGGGCTGGGGCCCACAGGAGGCCGGCAGAGCTGGCGGTCTGCCGCGGCACGGCTGCTTCTTCCCTCTGCCCCCTCAGCGTGTTACCTTGGCACCAGACTTCCGCCCGCTTGTCTTCTTCTTACCTTGTCCTTTATACCTTGGTATCTGAGCATGAGAATAAAATGACATTTTACTAAAAAGTATAAATCTTTACAAAGAAACTAATCCATAACCAAACTAATAAAATTTCCTATTAGAAAAGCTCTCAAGGGGGCGCCTGGGTGGCTCAGTGGGTTAAGCATCTGCCTTCAGCTCAGGTCATGTTCCCAGGGTCCTGGGATCAAGCCCCAAATCTGGTGGGGGAAGGGTCCCTGCTCGTGGAGAGTCTGCTTCTCCCTCTCCCTGACGCTCCCCCGCTTATACTCTCTCTCAAATAAAATCTTTAAAAAAAAACAAAAAAGCTCTGAAGAATGGAAAACCTAATCAATATGTTCCTTTCCGAAACCCACATTTTTTTTTCTCGTTCCTTAACTCTCTTCTCCTCCCGTGGTTCACCTGGCACGTAACTACTGTGCCTCACAGAAACTGGGTCCCACAGCCGCCGTGGGCAGAACCACGCTTCGGTCGGTGCATTGTGGCAAAGCCAGGCCTGGCCTCTGGAGCGGCCTCCCCTAAGAGCTGCCCCGGCCTCAGCTCGCCTCACTTGGGAGCACACAAAGCGGGTTTCTGTGGGTCGGACTGGACCCTTGGTTTGGCCACAACATCCCACAGTCCCGAGTGCTCTCCGTGGCGCCCAGCCCGACAAGGTGTCCTGAGAGCCCACCATGATTCAAAGACCACCAAGAGAGGACAGACAGCTGGCAAGAAAAAGGTGGGCAGAGTGCTGAAACCCCGATCTGCAACCTCCGAACTACAGGAAACTGCAGCTCCCCTGCCACCAGGTGGCTTCTCTTGCCACAAGTCTGCCACTGCCCTGTGGGCACGGCCACTGCCCCCCACGGGCCTCCCCGCCACACCGGCAGCCAGCAGGGGTGGAGAGCGCGGGGGCACAGCTGGAGGACAACCACTGTTCTCCAAGTCCACCTCTACAACGACCAGCACTTCTCTGTGTTTCAGGCAACAGATCCTAACTGACTTAAAAGATTCTCATCCTAGTTCTTAGATCTTGAAAATAAAATTTGTGTAGAGAAAATACATCAAAGACTTTACTCTGTCATCCTGAAGACACACCCCGTGCAGAAGGTCCCTGCTGCTGCTCTGCTTCCCAGAACAACGATCTGCTACAAAGAGAACTTCCCAACAGCCCAGTGCTACAGGGACTGATCCTCTGGAAAATGCGTTAACGTTCACCCCGTCACAGCCAGACATGCGCACAGGAAGCAAAGCTTTTTTACCGAGGCTCCTGTATCTGACAACTCACTTAAAGGGACTTTTTAAATTTACTCACAACCTTGATCTCTCTATAACCATGGTGACAGCCTCCCGGGAGCATGGAGGGAAACCCCCCCCACAGAGAAGGCTAACTAGATCTTGGAGCAAAGGGACAGCTACAAACAGCATGACGGTCTCTTCCCTCGGCTGGAAATAAAGCATAAAATCCTTTGATTCCCAAATTGAAAACATGAAAAGGAGCAACACCATCAAAGACCCAGTAACAAAAGCACAGGGGCTGCTCACTGGTGTGTGAGATAGAGAGGAACCCCCAAGAAGTCACCTCATTGCGGAGGTCCCACTGTGGCCACGAGTCACGACACCAGCAGGCTCACACAGTGGGCTCCAGGGCCACACCCTCATCCTGCAAAACGGGAGTCACGGCAATGATCACAACACGCCTGGCCCCAACCAATGCTCGGGTAGGACTGCTCGGCTGTACCAACACACAGGGCGCTGCAACCAGGCCCGAGACAACACGTCCCCTAACGGGCACATTCTGTCCACTCCTGGGACCCTGGACTTTCAATTCCAGTGTTCCACTCAGCACTTTTCTCCAGTTCACCAAATTCCTGCCATCAGAAGGCCTTCATTTTAACAACCCATAAGCCACACACACACACACACACACACACCCCCAGAGAACACATGTTTTATTATAAATCCTCCAAATAGCTCATTAATATAAAAAGCCATTACGATTTACAATTCTAAACTGGTCATCCGTCTTCAACATTCAACATAGTAATATTCTGGAACAACCATCAGGCACCCAGTATCCCAGAGCTAGGATTTATAAATGAAAAGTAAATCCCTCTGCCAACTAAGGAAGAAAATTTCCCAAGTACCAAATGAGTCCCAAAACCCCACAACTCCGTGATTCAACAGTGCGTTCCTTCCTAGGACACAAAATGCAGAACACTCCCAACAGAACGCGTGTGTTAAATACATGCTTCATTAAAGGGAGAAACGCAACATCAAGAAAGTACACCGCACCTGCGTTACAAACACAACCTGCAACGAGGAGGACAGGAGGGAAAGCCGAGCCCCGTGGAGTCTGAGCGCAGAAGCCCTCGTGCCCGCGGCCCACTCACTCACCTTACTGGGATTGCTGTGAGCGCTGGTTTTGCCTTCTGGTGACTTTGGTGGAGAATGAACATCGGACAGCTCTAGTGCACCCTAAAATATTTCAGTTTCAGATTAAAACATATTTTAAAAGAAAACATAAATATACTATTAAGCCTCAATAGTATATACTATTAATATACTATTAAGAATTTTGGCATTTAAAACCACTATACAATATTGGTGTTTTGAACTTTCTAAATAATATAAATATTCTTATTAGATTTTCACCAATTGTACTCAAGCAAAAACAAAACAAAACACACTTGGATTCTAATTACCTACACATCTGACCCAGTCACCCCAAACAGGCTGCTCTGTGCTGGGCTGAGCGTGCCCGGAGAAGCCCTCATTGGGGGCCCCGCCGTGGGGGGCAGCCGGCCCCGGGACTCGCACGCACCTACTCTCACCCCCTCTGGCCCCGCTGCCTCCTCCACTGTGCCCAGAGTCCCAAGCAGCAGCTGTCCATGGACATGGCACGCTCTGCAAAGGCCCCTACTGCCTTCCTCCTCTGCGCCGGCTGCTGTCCTCTCACCTCCCAGAGCACGGACCGCACCGCACGGCCCCGCGCCGCACGCACAGCATCACAAAACCACCGCCTTCAGGGCACCCGCTGGTCCCTTCCCCGCACTATGCTGAACGCAAAGAAGAAAGGTTTCAACGTTTCTTGGATGGAAATGACCTCCTGAGATTCAGCCACAACCCTGTTAGCAGCTCTGTGACCGTGTGCGTATCAAATGTTGGCTATTTTATATGAAAATCCCACCGACGACTCCAGCACTTTGAACAGGACCCGTGCGGCTCTCCACACCCGCAGCTCCCCTCCAGCCGCTAACTTCTGGCACGGCGTCCTCTTCTCCTGGGCCGAAAACCCCGTTTCACCGTCGCAAACTTTTCTTCCTCCCGTGTCATCCTCCGAGACCCAACCCTCTGCTGTCTTATTAATTTATCGAGTCTTGTCGCTTCTTCCTTTAAAGGGGAATCTTTATCTGCCCATTTGTGTCTGTTTACTGCCACCAGTCCTATCTGGATTAGCTTTCCAGAAGATTTCACTTCTTCTAGGCTTTGACCTTCTCCCGAGCTCACCTTCTAACCTTCACAAATTCATCTTCCGAAGGAGTACTTCCTCTGCACAAGTCTGCAAAGGCTTCCCACCCAGTCTGAACACAGGGTCTGTCCAGAATCCTTGTGCGGGCGCCCGGGTGGCTCAGCGGCTTGAGCGCCAGACGCTGGATTTTGGCTCAGGTCATGATCTCAGGATCACGGGATCCGGCCTCTCGTCGGGCTCCCCCTCAGCGGGGCGTCTGCTGGGATTCTTTCTCCCTCTGCCCCTCCCACCGTGGATGCTTCCTCTAAAATAAACAAATCTTTTAAAAAAAGAAAAAAGAAGAAGAATCCCTGTTGGGTTGGGTTGGACCCTGCAAAGGATACAATGGTGAGACCAAGCCCTTGTCCCCAGCCAGGGGATGACATGGGGAGGAACGGGCCACCGCAGGCGGCTTCCACACCTGCGCAGAGCCAGGCCCTCAGTTCTGAGAGCCGCTGGCAGAGAGGGAGGAAGAGGGAACCACCCCAGAAGGCAGAGTGGAAGAGAGACCGTGAGTGAGGACACTCCACAGCTGGGTGTGAGGACGGTGCCCCGTTTCCGGTGGAGAGCAGACGAGGGGAAGGCAAGAAAGCAAAAGCCACTTTTAAGTAGAACCAAGTCTGGCTGAAGCACAAGGGTCCACATTTCACAAAAAGGCATAAAACCGGAAAGGTGGTGAGGCGCCACATCACACTGGATCTCAACACCACGGCCGAGGACTCTGGGAGCCAGCTGGCTGCCACTGCACAGTGACGGCAATCTGTAGAGAGCGGAGCAGCAGACGAAGGGCTGGACTTGAAGATGCAGTCGGCGAGCGTGAAGGGCGCAGACTGACCGCAGACAGCGCCCGCAGAGGTGCTGGGGAGCAGGACCCGAGCAACGGGGCTCCACCGGGGCCGCGCAGCAAACAACCCAGTGCTGGGACCCACTGTGCTGGGGGACACCCGACGCCCTCCAAGACCCACTCAAAGTCACGGCAAAGGACGTGGGGCACAGCAACCTGAGTCTTAAGGTGGTCTGCAAACGCCTTTCCGTGAAAGCATCACTGAGTTCAACGGGCTGAACCCAAAGCTAGTTTTCTTCTCCAGCATCAGAAGAGGTGCATACAACCTAAGGAGAGGCTTCCCCCTCCCAGTTAGAAACGCTAGTGAAGACGGGAAAGCCAAAATGGACACTGTGGGCTCCCTATTTTAAATATGAATCTGACCATCGATCCACGTGTGTACAGAGACACACGACCAGTTAAAACGACACACCCCCATGTTAAGGGGGAAAGTAGCAAGGAGTGGGTATTTCGTAATGGTTTCAAACTTTCAAGAAGTAAAACCATGACCTCTTGAAGTTACAAAAGTCTTCTCGTGTGTCCGTCTGACAGACACCCAGCTTGGCGACAGGCCGACTGACGGGGCCGGCTTCGGATCCACCAGCCAGAAAGACACACGAAGAACACGTTGCCTGAATTTTCATTTTCAAACCAACCCAACTAGACAAGATCTCTGACGGGGCCTCAGTCTGGGGCGGACGCCCGGTCTGGCAGCAGACGGGGAGCTCTGCGGCAACCAGCCTGCCTTCTTCCACGGCGCGCTGCTGCCGCGGGGGACAGAGCTCCTCCCTGACAGGACCGGGCCAAGGGCGCGAGCAGAAAGGCAGCTCTGTGGACTGGAACCAGGGGGCACAGAAGCACAACTGACACAAGCAGAGAAACCGGGAGCAAGAACTGGAGCCGGGAGGACGCAGATGTTTCACCTTCTGTGACTGGGGCCTCGCCAGAGTGAAGCCTGTTTCATCACACGGGATGCACGTGTGCCAGTGAGTGTCCAGCGGGTCTGTGTGGGGAAGAGCTGGAGACCAGTTTCACGCTGGGGAAGGACGAAGCTGGACGTGGGAGTCACCAAACAGTAATGAGGACAAAACGACCAACAATGACGACAAAGGCAAAGCTCGCAGGTCCTACACACGAAGCGCGGCCACCGAACCTTCCCGACCCTGACTCCCCGCGGGTCTCACCACCACCCGCGAGGCCGTTCTTTCCATCATCCCCACGTCATGAGTGAGCAACCTAAAGCACGTGGAGGTCAAGTGACTTCAGAGAGTCACACACAGGACACGGCAGAGCTGGGACGTGACCCCAAGCATCCTAGCTCAGCCCACGCTCCTGCTCCTGAGCTAAGGGAGGGCACACCAGGGCACAGGGGCCACCAGCACTGCAGAGCTGAACCCAAAAGCCACTGCAGCGCCCCAACCCCTGCCATGCACCCTTTCCACTGCAGTGGCCCCCACCCCAGAACCCCATCCCTGCTGCACCCCCTGCCCCTCACTCCAGCACCCGGCCCAGCACTCAGCCACAGCCCCTGCTCCTGGCCCCAGCTCTCCATAGCCTCCTTAGAACACCTCCCCAGTCCTCTCCTCTACTCTCACACTAAGACTGAGTTTAACAAAATTTCCACTTGAAAAACCACTGCTCCCCTTTAACTAAAACTGATCTGACTCCTAAAATGTGTGGCACGAAGCATTCACTGTACACTCCCTCCACTGTCATAAGCCATCACTTCCGTGTGCATTTCCTTATGGGAACACAGTTTATCTTTAATAACTCTCAATTCTTCTAGCCCATCAAACTATTTTATCTTTCCAACCAAAGCACCTATTTCTTAGGCCCTCTATGCAATGGGTGCTCAGTCAGGCTCCCCTGATGTTAAAAAAGATTCTAACAGAAAACATGCTCTGAGACCCCACACAGAGCCCAGGCAGTGCGCAGCCCCCACATTCTTACTCACAAAACAGTCACTAAAAGCACGTGTTTAACCGGGTGCCAGAAAAACAGGATCTCCACCTAAAACTAACATTTGTAACCAGAAATCAGACTTCATCTCATTAGCCACTTTCTAAAAAGGGAGAAGCAAGAAAGGCAGTAGCTAATCAAGAAAACAGAAGTTTGGAAATGTTTAGAAACTAAGCACAATCAACAGCTTCAACAGCTCTAAGTCTGTTTTTAAAAAAGCCCTTAAGTTCAAAAATTAACTAGCCTCTGATTCAGCTCTGTTACGTTTAAAACGGTAACAAGACAACAACCAACGAGTGTCCAGGCACCTGACACGCCCTACCTGGTGCGGCCTCACACTGCCCACGAGGCGGCCGCTCCCCCCATCCTACCCGGGGGAACCGTGAGGGGCCCGCATGGCCAAAGCCAGCCTCGCCCCCCTCTACCCCTGACCCCAGTGTTCCCGAGTGTCCAACTGCAAACAAGCACGGCACCGGGCTCAGCCGACACGACTCCGACTTTCATCAGCACGTGCGCTCGCAAGACCTAAGTGTGCTTTGTTGTGTCTTGAAGAAACAGCTTCTTCGCATTTAAACTCTGATTCACTACGCATGCAGAACTCTGCATGGCGACCCTGAGTAGCCAATAATTAAAACTGACAAAGGTGACAGAGGCTGGAATTACACTTACCTCCCCATTGGGTGGCCCTCTCTCCTTCTGCTGACAACGTCTGATCACCTCCAGTAACAACGGTCCGCCCACAGTACCTTCTGCCTCGATAATACCTAGATCTCGGGCTAAGTTCTCTCGGCCTTCAAGACTTTGAAACTAGGGAAGAAGATACAACAAGCGAGATATGAGTGCACAGAAGTATGCAAATGATTTTCAGAGACTGAAGAAAAATATTTTTGGAATTAAAGATATCTCTAAACTCAGAGAGATCATTTTCCTAATGAATAAAACGCCCATTTAAAAAATTATAGATTTCTTTTAAACTAGTCTCTGCATCCGAAGTCTTCATGAACGGATGCGGTCTGACATCGGAACAATTATTTCTACAAAACCTTCCTCTCAAAGTTCTACGAAGCGGCGTGGGTAGCAGCCATCTACAGCTCAGATGGCTTTTAAGACAAACGGAACATCGACTATAAGAAATAACCTACATGCAAGACCCTCTAACACATCAAATTTTGTTAAGTTTCAGGTTATAATGAACACACTTGTATCAAGGACGGTTTCAAAGATAGATGCAAAAAAATCATGACTCTTACTGTGCTGGTTTCGGGTTGAAAAACGGCCAAGGTGAAGTCAAGATGGAAAAACTGGAGAAACTCCGCAACGAGACTAGCCACCAGCCGGCCTGCGGAAAGGGAGAAGCGGTGAGCACACCTGCGCGCCAGAAGCCCTTCCACTAACGCCACCAGGTAAGGGTAGCTCAGCAACTGAAGAGGAGAGGTTTCTAAGCTTAAACGATAAATTTACCTTCAAAGAACCCCAGCAATGAAAATCTCAGTCTCGTGTTTTCATTAGCACCGTGTGAAGCTAACTAGTGCTAAAACGACATTCCATAGGTGCATGACAGTACTCTGCTTCTTATACTAAAACTAGTTTTGGGGCGCTCGGGTGGCTCAGTTGGTTAAGCGACTGCCCTCTGCTCAGATCATGATCCCAGGATCCCGGGATCAAGTCCCACGTTGGGCTCCCAGCTCCATGGGGAATCTGCTTCTCCCTCTGACCTCCCCTCTCATGCGCGTGCTCTCTCTCTCAAATAACTAAATAAAATCTTTAAAAAAAAACAAACAGGGCGCCTGGGTGGCTCAGTGGGTTAAACCTCTGCCTTCGGCTCGGGTCATGATCTCAGGGTCCTGGGATCGAGCCCCGTGTCGGGCTCTCTGCTCAGCGGGAAGGCTGCTTCCCCCTCTCTTTCTGCCTGCCTGTCTGCCTACTTGGGATATCTCTCTCTGTCAAATAAATAAATAAAACCTTAAAAAAATTAAAAAATTAAAAAAACAAACAAACTGGTTTTAACCAACAATTTCCTATGACCAAGGATATTCAAAACAACTTAACAGTTACATAATAAAAGGCAATTTTAAAATGAGAACCTGTAAGAATCACAGACTTCAAAAAATATCTGAAACTTGTCAGGGCGCCTGGGTGGCTCAACTGGTTAAGTGTCTGCCTTCGGCTCCACATCATGATCTCGGGGTCTAGGGATCGACCTCCCTGCGTCGGGTCCCCCTCGGAGGGGAGCCTGCCCCTCTCTCTCCTCTGCCCTTCCCAACCCCCTTCATGTGTGCGCTCTCTCTCTCTCTCTCTCTCTCTCATAAATAAATAAAATTGTAAAAAAAAATCTGAAACTCCGTATCTCTCCTAAATAGAACTTGAAAATTCGGAGACAGACAAAATAAGCAAGAATAAACTGAACATCTTACCATCTTTCGTATTTAAAAACTTTCTCAGGCTCTCATTGACTAGAGGAGTTTTGTTCTGTTAAAAAATGAAATAGTATGTCATGCATTTATCCTAAAAACTACAAAACGTGGTTTAAAGCTTAATTTTTGGCAGAGATATATAGTAAAATATGGTCACTCATAAAATTATGGTTAAGCCCACTCTACAACTACTGATTACTACAGGAATTCTTTGATGCTATTTATTATCTCAAAGCTAATAAAATGAAACCACACATGAAAATGTGCATTTATTTTTAATTTTTAAATATTCCACAAATTGTTTATTAAACGACTTTAGAAGCTAGACCTTCAGCTACTCATACGTGAAATGGCGTTACGTTTACCTACAAAACAAGTGTTTATCATTCTAAATACACGGTGACATGCGGTCATCATAGATTATCTTCCATTTATAGCTTACTGTGAGCAGGACTCAAATTACACACTTGCTATTCGCAGCTCGTCAGCATCACGTGATGTGACTTTGGGTCCTGCACAGGCCAACTTACCTCTGCCATTCTGCGTTTACTTGAATAAAAACAGGAAAAATACTTCCAGCTCACTCGAGCTTCTTTAAGCGTACCGAATGAATTATGGGTATGACGACTCACTTTCTGCTGCTGGGACTGTAAATGGTGCGATCACTTTGGAAAGGAGTCTAGTAATGTTCTAAAGAGTTAGTACCCCTACCATAGGACCCATCTGTAGGCATTTTCTCACAAGAAAAGCACAGGTCTAAGCAAAGACATGTACGTGAGGATTCACTGAAGCCCATTTATAACACCAGAAAACTGGAAACAAGCCAAACGCTCATCAACAGATGAATGACTAAACAAACCATCACACGTCCATACAACACACACTACATGGGGAAAGACAGAATGAGCTATTAATACAAAGGACAATATGGGCGAATCTCAAATGCATTATGCTGAATGAATGCAGCCAGATCAAAAAAGAAAAGAGAGTCTGTGCAGTAGGATCCTGCATGTGTGGCTCTTAAATACATGGTGGCCCTGGGGCGTGTGGTGGGGGAGGGTGTCACAAAGGGTTTCAGGAAGCTTTCAAGGGTCAAGGATACAGTGCACTATCCTGACTGTTTCAAGGTTGCATAAACATTAAAATGTAACAAACTGGGGCGCCTGGGTGGCTCAGTGGGTTGGGCCTCTGCCTTTGGCTCGGGTCATGATCTCAGGTTCCTGGGATCAAGCCCCGCATGGGGTTCTCTGCTCAGCGGGGAGCCTGCTTCCTCCTCTCTCTCTCTGCCTGCCTCTCTGCCTACTTGTGATCTCTCTAATAAAGACAATAAAATATTTAAAAAAAAATGAAACTGCACATTTAAGTGTACTGGGTTTATTATAGGTCAGTTGCACCTCAATAAAGTTGTTTTTAAAAAAAAAAACAAAAAAAGACAAGGCAGGGAAAGATCACAAAGGTAACCTTAGTAGGTTGGTCTACGGAATTTTAAGACACTGAGTCTACTGAAATATTTAAAGAAAAAACAGAGGAGGAACAAAAGCAGATGTGTATTATCAACAGCCAAACTAGGAGCACTGCAGAGAACGGACTTCAGGAAGATGGTGAGTGACACGCGCAAAGAGGAGACTGGAGAGGAGGAGGGGTGAAGCCACCCGCAACAGCAGCAGCTCGGCACTGGACAGGAAGGCGGAGGCGGCGGGCCTCCTCACACAGGTCAGCCGCAGGGCTGCCACGGGGGCAGAGAGCAAGGTCCAGGCAACTCTCAGATTTCTTGCTCGGGCAAACCGCCGTCCCCAGAAGCAAAACCAGTCCGGCAGACAGGGTCACAGATGGGTCTGAAGCTGACAAGGTGGGTCAAGGACTCAGGGCTGAAGTCACCGGTAGAACTGAGGTCATCCAGGGAGAAAACACAGAATGAGAGCTCCTGCATAGTACACCAAGGATGTAAGCCCGGTGTAGAGGGAAAAGACGGCACTCAAGAGAGCAAGGAGTGCTCAAAGGAGAAAAGAGAAAAGAAAAAAGTCCCAAAATCCAGGGAGATTTTCAGGGAAGAAGAGAGGAATTAAGAATGTCAAATGCCAGCAGGGTCGGGCCTGGTTAGTACTTGGATGGAAGAATGTCAAATGCCACAAAGAACAACCAAGTTAAGAACACAGGTTAGAAGGAAAATATACTCAATAAGGAGATTCTTCTTGACCCCGGCAAAGGGATGTCTCAGGTGTAGGAGATCTAAGGCGAATTTAAGTGGATTTAAGATGTTAATGTATTAAAGGGTGCCTGGAACATAAGAAATAAGACATACACATTCTTTCAAAATTCAACTGTGGGGGAAAATCCGAGTGGTATTAAAAGCAGAACATGAGTTAAGGAAAAGAGCTTTGTCCTTGAGAGAGATACAAACACGTCTCTATGCTCAAGAGAAGGACCAATAGCAAGGACAAGGCCAAAGACAGAGCCAACGGCTGAGCTGCTGAGAGTACCTGGAAGGCAAAACCCAGAGAACCGGACTATTCTTGGACAAGACGAAGAACCCCGCAGCAAAGCCGGAAGGAGGTAGGATGTGGACGGACGCAGGGCGGCTCTCTCGGAGCCGAGTGATGGAGCTGCAGGGAAGACACAAACAGTGGGGACCCCATGCTCCTACTTCCCTGCGAAGGAGAGACCGGGCCAGCTGCTGAGAGCGCAGGAGGCAGGAGAGGTAGCGGGTCAGCGCAGCTAAGTGAGAGCTCTGAGCGCAGACGGCTCACCGCCCGCTCCGACCCTCACCGAGGCAGGCGCCCGCCAGTTAGTGGCCGCAGCAACCCGGCGCTGGCTGACCGCTGTAGCACCAACGTGGCACACGCAGGAGGGGACTTAGTCTGCTCGGTGAAATGACACTCGTGGTTCTTCCCAGAGTGAGTGTGGCTGGCGGCGGAGGAGCTGCGGTTTCTCAGACGGAGCACGAGGCCCAGACGAGGCACGAACAGAGGCGGGAGAGAAGACGGACGCCGGACAAACACGTAAGGGCCAAGCGCCGCAGCACTTCATGCTGTTAAGCAGGCGCCTACGTCTAAAGCGAGGGGCGATCAGAGGGACGGGCTCGAGCAAGGTGAAGCCCCTGGTCACGGGGTAATTCTCGCCGACGCCAGGGGGATGGGAGGACCTGAGGGACAGGAAAAAACTGAACACACTGACACGAAGAAGTGGTTGGACTTGTGACAGTGACACAGGGCACATGACTTTAAGACAACTGGGGGTGAGCTAGTTGAGAAGAGGTGCGCGCGGTATTCCCCCCACCCGGTGGCATTCGTCTGCACACCACACAGGACAGCTCCTGCGATCCTGCCGCAGACGCACTGACCACGGAAGCCTTCCTCCACGGGGCCCTGTGACCTTGCCCGCCAGACCCCTACAGACAGGCGTCTACACCAGCTAGGGTTCACTACTGGCCCCAGAACTACTGGGACCCCGACCTCCCTTAGACGCCCCGAAATTCTGAGATACAGACGAAAGGAGGACAGTCTCCCCTCTGGCCCAGCAGTAAGCAAGTCAGTCCTTCTAGCTCGAAACCACCCCCGGCCACAGCGGTACCCGCAGTATTGAGGAGAACGTGCAGGTACTGGAAATGACACGAACGAGTGGGCATTTGAAGGTCGCGCATCTCCTACCTCTACTTTTTCTTGCTCTTCTAGTGCTAAAAACACAGCTGCTCGGAGTTCGGCCTTTTAAAAAATGGTGAAGGAAGAAAAGTAGTTTGAAGGCCACGGTCACGACCCGGGCGTACACCCAAGTTCCACAGGCGCCGTCCCACCTTCTGAGCGCCGAGGCCACGAGCCGGGCAGGGGCGGAGAGGTGGGAAGGCGCCGCGGGGTGTCCCCCGCCCGCCCGCAGAGAGGCCCCCGCAGGGAGCCCCCGCCCTCCCCCGCCCGCTCCCAGCGCCCAGCCCCGCGGCTCGGCCCCGCCTCCGCGTCCGCGACCCCACGCCGGTCACCGCCCGGCAGCTGCGGCGCGAGCCGGCCCCGGCCTCGCACCCCGGGAGCGCACCCCCGGCCTCCGCGCGGCCCGGCCCCCGAGACCCGGCCCCGCAGGGAGCCGCCCCCCGCCCGCGGCCCGACGCGGCCCCGCGCGACCCTTTGTGACGCCCGCCGTCCGCGCAGGCCCTGCGGCCCGCGGGCGCAGCCGGCATCCCCGCGGTCCGGCCCGGCCCACCTTGATGCGGTTCAGAACGCCGCTGTTCTCCAGCGTCTGCACCAGCAGGTCCCGCAGCTCCGTGTCCTCCTCCGGCACCACCGCGGCCGCCGTCGCCGCCATCTTGCTTCTCCAAGACAACCGCCCAAGCCGCGCTAACGGCCAACGGCCGCCGCAGATTCCGCACGCGGCGCGGCGACGCGGCCGAGACCACGCCCCCCCACGCCGGCGCGCAGCCCGCCCTCACGTCGGGGGCGGGGCCGCTTACGTTGTGGGGGCGGGGCCTGGGCCCGTGGGGGCGTGGTCTGCGGCTTGTGCTGGGGCGGAGCCCGGTGTCCGCGGCTGGCCTCTGCGAGGTGGGAGTGTGAGCCGCGGCGGTGGGATGGGCTGCGCAGCCCTGCGGTGCCTCGTCGTTAAAATCGTATCACATCGCACGCAAAATGAATTGTGTGCTGTGAACGTCAGACGCGTTCCCACGGGGCGAAAGGAACGCCCAGGCCGGCTCAGCTAGCCCCGGCGGGCGGGACCGGGCGGCGGAGGATGTGTGTCCTAGGCACCTGCCGGCTGCCCCCGCGGACGCGCTGCAGCGGCCTGCTGTGCCCCCGTTTCCAACGCGCTCTCGGAGTGTGTGCACGTGCACGCGGGTGTGTGTGCGCGCGCGCTCCCCGCGCTACAGCCTGCACACACAGGCGTGCGTGCGCGGGAGTGCGCCCATCACGAGCGGGCATGTGCAGACGTGCGTGTGTGCACGCTCACCGATGGAGCCCGTGCGTGCGAGCGGGCGTGTGTGTGCGTGTGTGTGTGTGCGCGCGCGCGCGTGCACGGGCTCACCGGGAGAGAGCGCCCCGGAGCCTGCACCGCGCGGCCGAAGCGGGTACTGTGTCTATTATGGGAACAGCGGTCAGTTACCGATCTTGGGAGAAGAGGGGTCCACGGGACCATCATCCCCGGCAGGCCCCAGCAAGAAAACTCCCGCAAAAAGTGCGCGGCAGCTGCAGGTCAGCCAATCAGAAGTCATGCCCACCCCGAACTTCTGCTTTTCTGCAAAGGGCTGTGGTTCAAAACAACCCCTTCCAATTTCTTTCTCCGCAGATAACTTCGTCTCCTTTGTTTGGGGGACTTGCCCATGGTTTGGGCATAGCCTGCATGTCCTAAACTGCAGTTCTCTCTTATTCCCAAATAAACCCAGTGTTGCTGGGGAAAAACAAAACAAAACTGACTTCTACTGTCGAGGTTAACAATACATGGGTGTGTGTGAGTTTGTGCACGTGCACACGGAGAGGGCGTGCACGTTTGCACTGGAGAACGGGTGTCCTGCATGCTGCTGTAGAGGGTCTTACACTCTGCCTGTTTCAGTAGTTCTGCAAGAACATGCTGGGAAAATGAGGGAATCTCATTCTATGAGGAAGCTAAGTAAGAAAAAGTGGAGATTCTGGGACTCTCTCCTGGGCACCGCCCTGCGCCTGCAGTAGGTCCTAGGAATCTTACTCACAGCCCAGGTGCCTGTAATGCCAGTGGGGAGGCGGGGAGGTCTGCAGATTCTTGTCTAAGGGAAGAAAGTGGAGGTTTTCTGCCTTGGCCGGCTCTTCTCCCTTCTGGCAGCATCTGCTAAAATCGGTACATGTCTTTCCAGACAGTCTTATATAGAAATATGCTCCACGCACACGTACTTCTCCCGTTCCATAATTTGCATCCCACGCTTGCTTTTTGATTTACTAATTTCACTCAACGAATCCTGACCTCCTTTTGATGTCTGTACACGAAGATTCTATCTCCTTCTTTAACTCCTGCATGGTATTCTGTTGAAGGACATTCCAAAAACGAGTTTTTCACAAGGACACGAGGGTTGGTTTGCATTTGTTCTGCTGGCTGTAGAGGTAGTGCACACTGATACTTAGAAATCCAGACGAAATGCATTTGTGATGAGCACCCGGTGAAAGGCTGAGTCACTACATCATACACCTGAAACTAATACAACACCGAACGTTAACCACCTGGAAGTAAAACAAAATTTTTTTAAAAATTGATTGTCCTAATAGATTATTTATCATTATGTATTTATAAAATATTTTTGAGGAATCTATCAAAAAAATCCAGAGAAAAGGGAAAAAATTAAAAGAAAGTAGCAGTATCCCCATCTTTCCCCCTCACGTATCCCTCCCCTGGTCCTACACTCTAGACCCGCCCACCATTAAGTTTGTTTTCATTCTTCTGCTTCTTTTCATTATAACTCTGAACGCTGAACTCCCACATCTTCGTTCATCAACCATGAATGGTGCCTTCCAAAGAATAAAAATGTATCATCTAACTTTCATTTCTTAAAATTATGTTACTGTTAATTTTACTGGTGAGGATTTTGTGACTTGAAATTGTCCATCTACATCATCATTCATCCATTCCACGCATCGCCTGTTGGGTCCCTGCTATGGGAGGGGAGGAAATTAGTACATTGGTATCTGTCCTCTCCCCGCACCATGCCCTTCCCACTGTCCCTAATGCTGTCAGTTTGATTCTTATTTTTATGCTGTCAAGAAAGTACATTCTTTCCTTAATTAACATCTCTCAAATTTTCTTCCCTGATTGACTGAAAAACAATCCCAGAATTCCCAACATTAGGGGCATAGCAGGTCTGTGAGGCAAAGCCCATACGCCTTCGAAATGAACATTTCCTACCCCCAGGGCCCACCTCCATCTGCCAACACCAGAGATGATTTGCCTGCTGGCTTTTCTAGCTACAGGAGCCTGCTATGGCTGTGTTCGGAAAAGGCCTGAAGGCCCAGGGAAACACTCTCTCCTAAGAGCACCTCTGGCCGTGAATGCGTGAGGACCCCCCAGCTTGCTCCCCAGTGGGACAAGTTTCCACACTAGCCTCCGTGATTCAGGTCTGAACTCCAGTGCTGGCAGCACAACCTTTATCCGTTTCCTACCTGCCCTGTCCTGTTGCCCCGCTCCCCATCCCGTTTCCCAGGCTTCCCCCTGAAATACACTGTTCACATTCAAATCCTTGTCTCGTGGTCTGCTTCTGGGCCCTCGAACCAAGACGGTTAGTCCAGACTCATTCCCCAGGGATGGGGCTCTGGAACTAGATTGTCTACCTGCCATGTGGCAGCAAGGGGCTGCGGCCACTGTATGGGGGCTGCCCGCAATCGCGGGGCACAGCAGCTGTGCTGGTAGGACAAAGCGGGGGGAGGGCAAGTGGAAGGGGGACACTGTCTTGGGCCATCTCTCTAGCATCAGACAGAGATGGGTGCAACAGTCATTTGAAAGATTCTGGAGTCAGGTTTGTTTTTTTTTTTTAATGATATCAGGGTGCTGAGGGAAGAGATGACAGGTTCAAGTCAGCCAACTCTCAGCCTAGGGCGTGGTGTAGAAACTCCTCGTGCCCGCCAGAAACTCCCAGGACACCGCATGTGCAGCTAGAAATCCCGTACGGTAGGAAACTCTGTGGAGATAAGCAAACCCTACAAATTAGGGCTTTTTTTTTTTTTAAGGTTGCGAGTTGTTAAGCATTCCCCAGCGCACATTTGCATTCATGAGGCTTCCCAACGCCCAGGATTTCTAGCTGGTTCGTTCTCAAAGCCTCTAGACCTCGCTAAGCTTCAACCCTGAGCTGTGAAGTGGTCACCAACCTCACAGTTTCGTAGTATAAAATAAGACAGTTTGTTGGAAATCCCATCTATTTCCTGATGTCAAGAAAAGACTTAATGACAAGCTGGCTTCTGAGATTGGCCTTGAGGAAAACCATTAAATCAGAAATCAAGCTCATTCTAAACATGAAGGTGAACACGAGTGAGAGAAGGGGCCGGGAAGTAAGGCCCAGGCCGGCAAGTGTGGGATCCGAGCTGTCAAAGTCAGGACACGTGAGAGGAAATGGGAGGAAATGACCAAAGGTGGACGTTAGGCGGGGCAGAGACAAGAGCTGCTGGTGGGGGAAACTGAGGAAGGGAACCGAACTCGCATCAGCGGCAGACGCGGGGGAGCGGGTTCCAGGCAGGTGATGGTGGGTTGTTTGGGGAAGGAAGAGTGTGAGTGTGCGATGAAGACCCGGTCTGGATGTCCGCACGGCAGGCTGAGACTCACTGGCCAGCACCTGGCGCTGAGCGCAGGCTGTGGAAGGTGTACGAAGACGAGCTCTGGTCCTGCGGTCAAGGGCAGGCCCGGGCGTCAGAGGCAGGACACTGGAGGCGAGGGTTAGCCCAGGGAGGAGAAAGACAGCCCGAACTCAGCTCAGAGGGGAAGGCTAGTGGTCAGGAATTCCAAACAAACTTTGCCAAAACTTACTGTGTAAATTCCATTATTTCATCGGCTATCAAGGAGAAAAACTCCCTAATTCCCTTCTGTATGGAGGAGCTCAAAATCCTTTGAACATACTGCCACCTGTCATGTTAATAAAAGAAGTAATAAACTTAAATTATTCTAAACTGTTTCTAAGAAAAGAATATAAATAGGGGCCCCTGGGTGGTTCGGTCAGTTAAGCATCTGCCTTCGGCTCAGGTCATGATCTAGGGGTGCTGGGATCCAGCCCCTTCCCGTGTCAGGCTGCCTACTGGGTGAGCCTTGCTCAGGGAGCCTGATTCTCCCCCCCCCCCCCTCCCCCGCTTGCGCGCGCGCGGTCTCTCTCTCTCTCTCTCTCTCTCGCGCTCTCTCTCTCTCTCTCTCACACACACACACACAAATAAAAACAAATAATAAATAAATAAATCTTTTAAAAGAGAATAGAAGTCTCTAGAAGTCAGTTGGAGACTGCAGGCACGTGTCTCTGGTGAACCGGTTATACCCGGACAGTAGGCGGACACAGAGGGTCTTCATTAAAACCTTGTCATTTACTGTCTACAGCGAGCCGTGATTTAAGCCCTGCGCACGCAATCCGTGAACTCTGTCTGCACGTGTATCACCGTTACTATTACTGGGGCCTCTCGGCTGGGACCCAGCAGGGGTCCCTGAGATCAGATCCTGCTCAGAAAGCTCAGGAATGCAATGATGCAGCCCAAGTTGGCAGACTGATGTTAGGGACGGGGGAGAGGAGCTGTACCTAACGCCCCCCCATCAGTAGCGGGAAGCACAGAGCTGAGTGAATCTGCTCCCTAATGAGAAGGGAGGCCTGAGGGGCGGGAGCAGTGCCCTGCTGTGCTCCCCGCAGAGAGGAATCAGGAAGGGAGACAGAGAGAGTGAAGGGGAAGGGAGCGATTGGGGAGGGGGAAGGGCAGGGCGGAAGTG